TCCAAATATTTGTTATGTAAGTATGTACTTGTACACCCATAATTTATAACTACTTAAGCCCCTTCCTATTAGACGACTTAGGTTCGGTAATCACAAACACAAAGTTATGTTTCGAGGTTGGCATTCAATACAACTTACAACAGAGCACGTTAATGTTATAAAGGTTCCTAATTTTAATTTAATTATTGTTTGTAGATATTACAAATAATAACACATTAAGTATATGGAGTGACTGACATAGCCCGCAGAATCGCTAAAATCAAGTGGCAGTGGGCGGGGCACATAGCTCGAAGAGCTGATGGCCGCTGGGGCACAGGAAAGTTCTTGAGTGGCGACCACGAGCCGGAAGACGTAGCGTAGGCAGACCTCCCACTAGGTGGACCGACGATCTAGTGAAGGTCGCGGGAGGTGCCTGGAAGCGAGCGACGCAGGACCGGTCTTTGTGGAAATCCTTGGGGGAGGCCTTTGTCCAGCAGTGGACGTCTTTCGGCTGAAACAACAACAACAACAACGACAGACTGTCCAATTCACCGATCGACCGTTCAATAGGTAGACAGATAACGTATTTAAGAGCAGTCACCCAACCGGCAAGCGAAAGGTCGTAGGTTCGATTCCAACCTTGCGCGATTTGATTTTTTCTAGTTATTAAAAGTTTGAGATGCGCCTTTTAACGCTAGAACATTATATTAATGTGGTCCTTTTCGAGACCTTTTATGGGTAAGGAGCCCTAAAATACCTCCCAAGTATTAACCGTACCAACTGTTTCTATAACACACTTCACAACAAACTCGGAGCAAACATAATCATTACAGGCATACTTAGGCAGTTACCTGGCATTATCATTGGCCCCACCGAGCGTCGAACTATGAATACTGCATGAGTTTTGACTGGAAGCTCACCGATGACCATTATGCTTGTACGTGCTCTCATGAAATTTTGATCGTCTTGACTTAAGGCCCACTGGTCACTCATACTTTGAGTAGGGTGACACAACAATTCATCAAAAATAGGATAATTAACAGTTTTATTTTCTAAACGAACTAGGATTCGTAGTGCTTTTTCCTCTAGTCTCAAAAACATTTCTTTTACGTTAAACACGTTTTTGATTTTTTGAATTTTAATATTTAGTTTATATCAATCATAGGTCTAAGGCTGAGTACCACATTATTTTGACCGTGACTATAACCTTAACTGGTGTTTTTAGTATAGATTTTAATAGACTTTTGACGTTTCTTAAATTTAAAGTAAGATGTTGCAATCCAGCCTAAATGTCATATTATATGTGGTTTACTGTATTCAGAGGCAAAAAGAGGATGTGGCATTACCCTTCCTACGCTGGTCAGACAATTTAGGGGGAACTGATGTTCGCTATGTGTCCCATAATCTCATCTTACGACATTCACTACACGACGTATTTATAAATATTTTGTACTTAAATCCAAGAGAAAAAACATTTTTATACTACAAATAAAATAACAAAGTCGGTAGGGATTATTAACACTGACACGAGCCTTCCAAATCTCAAGGACACAGAACATCCTATCGAGTAGTCATTGAACAAGTTTCTAAGAAATTAATTAATTACTTCAGTTGTTTTTGTTAAAGGCCTGTCCAGGCTTATGCTAAGACTCCTGAAGTATTTTTTAAGTAAAAAATGTAGCGGAAAAGCTTTTTATTAGGTAGTTGTCATTTACAATAAGATGAGTGTAATGAGACCACTTTACTGTACAACTAGAAGATTATAAGAAACTAGCGGCCGCCTGCGACTTCGTACGCGTGGATCCCGTTTTACCCCCTTTCGTAAAATCACCCAGTTTCGTAAAATCCTTTCTTAGCGGATGCCTACGTCATAACATCTAACTGCATGCCAAATTTCAGCCCCATCCGTCTGTGGTTTGGGCTGTGCGTTGATAGATCACTATGTCAGTCAGTCAGTCACCTTTGAATTATTGTATATTTAGATTTATGTGCAAATATAAACTGTCGTTGGATTTTAAATGGAGTAACGAGTTCCTGAAAAGTACGCAATCAGACGTTGATTAGCTGCAGCGACTTTGTAAGCACCGTTGCAAATGTGTAATTAAGATATTATTCCATACAAGCTTCATTCCACGGCTTCGCCTTTGCTGATTTTAATCAAATACAGCCTATGTCCAAAGTAAAGTTTTATAAGAATCCGTCTGATAGTTTAAGCGTGAACGAATATCTAGCAAACATCCATCCATCTTCGCAAACTTTTAGTTTTTCGGACTATACTTTTTTGTTTCATGAGAAAATTTTGTTTTTCTTCCCATTGCTTTAATCTCTGTTTATATGCAACAATGATAGGCACATTAAGCTACTTAATTTTGAAACGTAGTAGTAGTAATGTGATTTTGCTTTAGATAGGTACTCAGATGTATTTATTGGTGACTGCACCTAACTTTTATGTAAGGTGTCGTTTTCTTATTACAGAGATACAGTTCGGACGGAAAACAATATTTTGGGTATTTCAATTTTCCGTCTAAGTTGAGAAATCTGTAATTATTATGACCAAATTCCATCCAACAATACAACTAGATACTGTACCAATATTAAATAAAAATGTTACTACATATGAAGTGACCTTCATCCTACAAGAGATTTTCTGGTAATTTTTGCAATATCTTAACGGCCTGTAGGCACGCTACTCGTGTGGAAACAACAAGTAACATAAGATATTTATTTCATCCAAGGGGGAGAACATTTTAATAAGAGAAAGAAAATATATTTATGCCAAGTATCGTTACCATCTTTACATCTTAAACGGTCTGGACATAGGCTGGAATAATATTTATTTTTCACAATTTACTTAGAATTGCTCAATTTATCAAACCTTAATATCTTAATAAATGACAAGCTAAAAACTATGCTTTTGCTATTTTCATTGAGTTTTCAGAGATTTCTTTGTAACACGATACTTAAACTGCAAAAATCTATGTAGTGAGTGTAACGACCGGAGAGAAAAAAATTAAGCATATGGATTTCATTTATCAATCCAAAAAGGGAAATGTATGACTCACCAAACATTAATTAGTGAAATTAAACACAAGAGATTAGTAGACCCACTAAAATTCACTAAAAAAAATCTCGTAGGTATTAGTAAAAAAGTAGCGCTTTACATAGATGAACATAGCTACATACATGTTATTTTCTTTCTCGAAACTTCTCAAGTCCCACTTTCAAGCAACATTACGTATTAATACAAGGTAAAAAAGTTAACAATAATTATACTCGTCATTTCATAAATTCAGACGGTGTTACAAACCATAGCCAGAATAATTCTGGCTATCCCCTAGATCATGGTCAACCTACTGGGTGATGAGGCACTACCTCTCGACCGGCGATGGCCGCTACAAATGCGATCTCCATTTACGCAATACAAGTTTTAATGTGTTGCAACCAACTCACCTGCAGCGATATGGTACCTATAAGCTTAGTATGATCTTTTGACCATTTTCATGATAAGCTTAAACTATTGAGGACGCTACGTGGCATAATAACTGAATCGAATAGTCAATAGACTAAGGCCAAACTTCTCTAAACCCCTTTAAAATGTAAGAAGTTTGCTAGTACTGTGGCCATACTAGGTGGACCGACGATTTGGTGAAGGTCGCGGGAAGAACCTGAATGCGGGCAACGCAGGACCGGTCGTTATGGAAATCCTTGTGGAGGTTATTTTCCAGCAGTGGACGTCATATGGCTGAAACGAACTAAAGGGGTTTAGACACAGAATAAGTAATAGTACAGGTACAGAAGGATTACTCCGCAAGACGATTTAACACTAGAAGTGCCGAAGATTACGACCCCGCTAAAAGCGCCGCTGGGTCAATTTTGTCCCAGCATATATTTTGTAACATTTTTTAGTTTCAGGCATGAGCATTATGGTTAAAACTATTTGTAGTATTCTTTATACAAGATTTATCTGTATAGTAAATCAATATGTACTTATTTCTTTAAAAATATAAATGTATTCAATTTAAAATTTGAACTATTAAAAGTCAGATATTTTTGGTTTCATATAAAAATAGTCACATATTACATGGTGTTATACTGTATTAAAATTATGAAATTAGTACTTTAACTAGTCATTATTATTTATGAAGGAAAAATAAATATCTTAAGTGTGTTCAGAAATCGATTACGACATCACTAGCGAACGCGCACATCACTACGCACGAAACTGACAGAAAACGGTTGCGATCGCGCCCGGCGCCTACCCCACTTGACTACCATTCCTCTAACCGCGAACATCAAATATTTGTATACGTTATTTCATGTTATAAACGCTGNGTAGTTTTCTACCCTGCCAAGTAAGTATGTATAGACAAACCAAGATGGTGTTTATTGGACCTTGGTCCCTGAGAACATCACCCGCTCGGAAGGAAGTATAACACCTAGCTTCCTTATTGTGGTTGAGCATCATATCCCACAAGTCCATAAAAATAGTTGATGAAACATTGTTTATGATACATGTTGCCGTGCTCCCCGCTATGAGTGGAGAGCAAGTGTGGACGGCCAAGTTTCAGAAACCTGTGTTTATGGTAAACTTGTTTCACACTAGTCATAAACAGTTTATCAACAAATGTTGCCTAATGAATATTATGGCCTTATGGGTCTTTAAGTGTTTCACAACATGTGTGATTCGGCCAGGTGCGAACCGCTCTTAAGTGGTCTTTCACACTTATTTTTCATAGGTTGATTAAAAAAACATATTACTATTATATTATATTACTAATTACTCATGCACCTGCATGCACCTCTCTCCAAAGCCTAGGGCGAAAAGCTCCATTCAACAAGTTTCTAGGCAATTCACACCGCGGAATCATTCGTGGCACGAAACGCCTTAGACCCAGAATTATTAGACCTCAGACCCAGTATTACCTGAATAAATACCAACTGCAAGAACCTATTCAAATGACATTTACCTACTTATGTAGGTTTAAATAATATAAAACGATACAAAAATAAATAAAACATACCTTTGAAAAAGTGTTTATGTATTTCATCTGCTTCTTCTGGATCTAGGTCTTTAATTTCCAACGGAAAGTTATTGCTTGAAGTAGTCATTTTAGCAGAATACCTAATTAGTTGAATTCCTTGATACCCAGGTAGTGGGAGTATTATTAACCGGTTGATATCTATCGTATCAATAACACAAAGTGCTTGAAAAATACGTCGCAAATATTGTGATCAGTTAAATAATCTCGTGAAAATGATAACCTATCTCTGTATTTCTATCATGATAAGATTTTTATACAACATATATCGTATTGTGTTACTCAATGGAAGACGGAAAAGATCTTAAATAAATATAATCAAATCATATCTTTGGTTTATCAAGCGTTAGAATATAGGTAGGTACTTAGTTCACACACTAAGTTAGTTCTTTGAGGAGGCAGTGGTCTGCTTCCACAATGCATCACTTACCTTCTCGTCCCTATCTCATTGATACCTTCACATTTTTTGAAGAATGCCGCCCACGAACTCTTACAACTTGAAAAGCTCACACCCGACAATACTTATTCTTCTAAATATTATTTACTAGCTGTGCCCGCGACTTCGACCGCGTGGAATAATGGTTTTGGGTAGGTAGGTACATTTAAATTTAGTCTAATGCCTGTTTTCACCATAAATCTCCAATTTTTAAGTGACCTCTATGAAAACAAAATGCCTGTTTATGTGTTACCATAGAGGTCACTTAAAAATTATGGATTGATGGTGAAAACGGATATAATAAGATATGTATTTAAAAAAAACGAAAACATATCATTTAAAATAACATAAAAACACGAAAAACATTATTTTTTTAAATAACAATAAATCGTGTAAGAAATTTTAATTTCAATATTTTCGCATGCGTAGGTAAGTATAGGTTCGATCAAACTAATGCGTGCAGACCGCGTACGCGATAGAGATGATTGGTTTGGTCAAACCTTTAGTTAGAGTAAGACCACTTTAGATTAAGAATTTCCCTACCAACACCGTGCTGCGCCATGCAATATTTTTCCCATGTTAGGTGTAAAAAACATCTTCCCTACAAATTAAAGATTAGTAAATTGGCAAAATAACATGACCTTCCATCATCAGCTTACCTTAATAACCTGAAAGAATACAAAAATCAGTCTATTCGTACCTGTAATATTTAAAAAAATATCCTCCAACAACCCCATTTTTGGAATGAAACGTAGCATATTCCTTTATCAGGCTCTAGACTATCTGTGAACTAAATTTCATTCACATCGGTTCAGTAGTTTTGACGTAAAAGCGCATACTTTCATACAACTTTTCACCCCCTTTTTAACCCCTTACAATCCCCTTTAAGCAATAATAAGTAGCCTATGTCCTTTCTCAAGCTCTAGAGTCTATAGACTTTCTGTGTACAAAATTTCATTCAAATCGGTTCATACAACCTTTCAACCCCCTTTGCAACCCCTTACAATCCCCTTTTTTCCTCTCCTATTTTAGGTAAATCAAAATTAATGAAAATTAGTCAATACAACATTTTGTCCCTCTTTTCAACCCCTTTGTTCAGAAATCGATTACGACATCACTAGCGAGCGCGCACATCACTACGCACGAAACCGACAGATAACGGTTGCGATCGCGCCCGGCGCCTACCCCACTTGACTACCATTCCTCTAACCGCGAACATCAAATATTTGTATACGTTATTTCATGTTATAAACGCTGAGTATCGAAGAAAGCGAGTTTCAATCACAAATACATCACATCCATCTACATGGTACTTCTACGCCGGATGCAAAGCAAGGAATCGTCGTGATCAACTGCATAAATCGGACACGCGAAACCAGCAGAGAAGGCAGCATTGAATACACAGTCAGGTCANAGAGCAAGGAATCGTCGTGATCAACTGCATAAATCGGACACGCGAAACCAGCAGAGAAGGCAGCATTGAATACACGGTCAGGTCAATCATCCTTTCATTTTCCTATCATTATTCATAATCCGCAGTGTTTTGTGCTAATAGTGGTAATATCAGTGCGTATGACAAGTTACTAAACCGGTGAAAGTGACGTTGAAACGGTCAAGGTCACGTAAGTATTGCCGTGCATTTTTAACCGACTTCAAAAAAGGAGGAGGTTATACGTTCGACTGTATGTTTTTTTTTTTCTATGTATGTTCACCGATTACTCCGTCAATTGTGGACCGATTTTCAAAATTCTTTTTTTGTTCGACACTTCTGAGGTGGTCCCATTGTCACCAAGTTAGGATCTGATGATGGGATCCTAGGGAAATCGAGGCAACCCTCAAATTTTATAGGCACGTATATCGTTTTTCAAACTTTTTCTTAATTTATTCAAGTATTTGCTCCTGGAAATCATCATCTCATATTGATGAGCTGATGATAGAAGGTAAAACTCCTTAATACTTAGGAATTGGAAGATAATTCTTTTAATTTTATAGATAAGTATAGTTTCTAAAGTTATTCAAGTGTTTACATCAGATATTCATCATCATGATGAACTGGTCATGGTAGGTACAACTCCTTAATGCTTAGGAGTTGGAGGATAATTCTTTAAATATTATAGGTACAAATAGACCAACAGTTGTATTCTTTCATGTTTTTAAGGTGGGCTGACGGTTTAAGGTCTTTTTAGGTTTCCTATATGGTAACCTGTATTTTGTAGGGAATATTATTTTACACTAGACATGAAGAATATGGTCTCAATGTACTGCCTACCTTCAGTGGTAACATCAAGGTAATAATTAGTTAACTAAAAAGCAAGAAATAAGTAAAATTTTATAAAAAAAAATAAAACCGACTCCAAAAATTGCAAAGGCTATGGCTTTGCAAGCTGGGCTGGGATGACTCCGTGCCTAATGATATTTGTAATGAGTGGCATAATTTTATTAACACATTTCAGTGCTTACAAAACATACGCATACCACGTCACGTGAGGGAACCCCATTCTAAATACACGGACTTGCACATATTTACAGACGCATCACAGGACGCGTATGGGGCCTGCGCGTACGTGAGTACTTACAGCGATGATTCACCAGTGCTAGTCAGGTTACTTTGTGCGAAAAGCAAAGTCGCTCCTATTAAGCCAGTCACTATGCCACGGCTTGAACTTTGCGGTGCCTTAGTCGGGGCTAAATTATTTAAGAAAATTAGTGAGTCATGGAGAATAAGTTTTAATAATGTTTATTTTTGGTCAGATTCAATGATTGTCGTCAGCTGGGTCAAAATGTCTACAAATCTATTGAAACCTTTTGTTCAAAACCGAGTGGTACAAATAAATGATTTGACCGGTGAGTTGCCGTGGCGACATGTCGCGGGCAAAGATAACCCGGCCGATCTGTTGTCACGTGGACTACCACTCGATGCATTACAACAATCGGATATTTGGTGGCACGGGCCAGAGTTTTTGCGTGAAATTAAAAATGAATCTAGTCAAAATGATGTTCAAGTTCTTGATATGTGTGAAATACCGGAGTTAAAATCAAATAATTGCACAATATCATGTTTAGCTAAATTAAATAATGCATTTCCTTTTGAACGTTTCTCTAATTGGAATCGAATGAGACGCACAATGTGTTATGTGTTGCGATTTATTAATAATTTGCGCATAAAAAACAAATCGCAGCGCAGCAGCGGCCCATTCTCATCGAAAGAGCTTACTGAGTCGGTAAATGTTTTAGCAAAATTTGCACAACAAGAATCACATCCAGATGTTTACCACGCTTTAGTAAATAACCTACCTATAAAATCTAGACATATTTCCGGTCTGGACGTTTTTTTGGACAATTCGGGTCTTATTAGAGTGGGAGGAAGATTGCAAAATTCTGAACATTATTCTTATAATAAAAAACACCCTATACTTTTAAGCTCAAAGCATATTTTCTCTCAACTTTTGTTTCGATTTGAACACATTCACTTACTTCATGCTGGACCTCAGCTGCTTCTTGCCACTATTAGAGACAGTTGGTGGGTACTCAGAGGGCGAGATTTGGCGAAGCAAACTGTACATAAGTGCATTTCGTGTACACGTCAAAGAGGAAAGACATTAAATATAAAAATGGGTAACTTACCATCTGAACGACTAGAGCCAGGGTATCCATTTCAGCGTTGTGGGGTTGATTACGCAGGACCTGTGTTCATTTTAAATCGAAGGGGAAGGGGGGCAAAATTGAGCAAATGTTATATATGCCTATTTGTTTGTTTTACTACTCGTGCAGTGCATTTAGAGTTAGTAACGAGTCTCAGTTCTGAAGCATATTTATTAGCTTTAAGAAGGTTTTTGTCTCGTCGCGGAAAGCCAGCGGAAATATTTTCCGACAACGGAAAAACCTTTGTAGGCGCTTTAAAAGAATTATCTCAGTCATTTATTAATAATCAAACAGATATCATAAATTATACGGCCAATGAGAATATCAAATTTAGCTTCATTCCACCGTATTCGCCCCATTTTGGTGGTTTGTGGGAGGCAGGGGTCAAGTCGACCAAACACCATTTGCGTCGGTTAGGGAACGCGAACCTCACTTATGAGGAATATTCAACATTATTAGCACAAATCGAAGCAATCCTTAATTCCAGACCCATGTATCCCATGTCGACCGATCCCAACGACCTACTTCCACTCACTCCAGCCCATTTCCTGGTTGGCCGACCGCTTGTTGCGCCTGGCTACAAAGACATCACGACTGCATCTACGCCTCACTTGAACCGGTACGAGCGCGTCGAACAAATGCGGCAGAACTTCTGGAAGCGCTGGACGAAGGAGTACATCGGGGAACTGCAGACCAGAACCAAATGGCAGATTAACCAGGACAACTTGGCGCCTAACACTCTGGTGCTCATAAAAGAGGACAACTTGCCACCACTAAAATGGCGACTAGGAAGAGTAACACAAACCTTCCCGGGAGAAGATGGACTAGCTCGAGTGGCAGACGTAAAAACTGAAAGCGGAATCATAAGAAGAAGCTACCAGAGATTATGCCCATTAATGCCAAAAGAATAACCGTTGGAGGCAGCTGCTCCAAGGCGGGGGGCATGTTCAGAAATCGATTACGACATCACTAGCGAACGCGCACATCACTACGCACGAAACTAACAGAAAACGGTTGCGATCGCGCCCGGCGCCTACCCCACTTGACTACCATTCCTCTAACCGCGAACATCAAATATTTGTATACGTTATTTCATGTTATAAACGCTGAGTATCGAAGAAAGCGAGTTTCAATCACAAATACATCACATCCATCTACACATTACAATTTATATGTTGTTGCAAAATAGACGTATACATGTTCGATGCACTCAGCACATTAAAATTTTGTCACACTTATTAAGCTTGTTGATTTGCAAAAAAGAACACTAGAATTTAATAATTCAAGGTGGAATTGATTGTATATTATGCCATATTGCACTAATTTTTTTGTGCAGCTAGAAGTTCCGTCATCTTTACAATTTCATAGGAGAGTTTTCGAAACAATACCAAAATGAATGCTATTGACTCTTATAATTTTAACAAAGTAGGTAGGTACTACCACTGCTTCAAAACACTCTATGCACGGATGCACAGTTCCACGACATTAAAATGTTAGTATTTTTTTAATTTTATGGTCCTATTGGAAGAAGAATAACAATAAAGTCGTTGGACCTTTGGAAACGAGCCCAAATATGAATATGAAAATCCATTTGAAAGGAACACCAAAAGTTACTCTCGTAATTTCATATTGTTCAAACAAGTAGCAACGGTCCACTTTTGTAGTTATTAACGGTAGTAGAACATTTTATTCCAGTCATGACTTGTATTAATACCCATTTCCAGCAGATCACACGATAAATGCGAGGTGCTATTGTAACACCCACAAATCCGGCTTTCAAGCTAATGTGTTTATTTATAAACGTTTTCCTTCCATCTTCTAGTGAGGAAACATAGAGCTGTGAATCCCGACAGCTGACGCAGTTTCCACATTCGCTTTATGGCCAACTATTCAGTATTTAGCATATTTTGCAAGAAAGTTATTTTAAGACCAAATCGATTATAGTTTTGTCAAGGTACAGTCAGCTTCAAAATATGTAGTTCGTGATACGCAAAATGACCAATAAGTTGACAACACAACTTTATTTCAATGGTTACAAAGACTTTTGGGTATCACGAACTATTTGACGCTGATTCATATTTTTTGCAATCAAGAATACATTAATTTTAATAAATCGCTTAAGGCGATTACTGAAACTAAGTAAGTATTATGCCATTTTACGAATTGTATAGGAATGAAATGCGATCTATGAAACCATGAAAGTTCATCATCACTGTTGGAAAACTTTTGCTTAGTTAATAGAATGTTAAACTATAATAATGTATTACCTAACTAGTATGATGTGCATAGTAAAAAAACTTTAGGTTGTATGCTGGGGATTTACAACTATCCATAAACCCTACACTTCATTTTGTACCTGATGTTTTCCATCTCTAAAAATCGCGTCGCGCACTTTCGGATTATAAATCCGTGTGTTTCCACCCAACATTTAATGGAAGATAGGGGATGTGAGGGGTGATAACCCTGTAATAGGAAACAGCTAATGCCACGTGAGGGTGCATTTTTGTATGCATTTGTGGATCTGCAATATTACGGGGGTTTAGCTTACAATTTTTCACGCCTCTTACATTTGGGACTGACATCTAGGAAATGGATCTTTTATTATGTGGTTAATAAGAAATGGAATGGTTATTGCTTGTTATACAGGGTGTAAAAGATAGGAAAAAAAACATTAAACAAGTCCACCCAGATACTGTTTTGATCTACAAGTATATGTCATTAGATTTTTCCGTAAGATACCATAGTTATTAGCACAATGTATATTAATGATTCACAGAACCTATTGTTACCAGAAACATATATCGCCATTAATTTCCTAAACAAATAGAAATAAAAACAAATCGTGAATTTTCTGGGAAAAACCTGGCTTCTCAGTACAACACAGAGGCGTGATTAAAACTCGTTGTTTGATTCATTTCTATCCTTAAACTCTGTATTGCTACAACCACATCACTTGAATTATGCAGTTGCATAAGCATTAGTAACATTCAAGGCTTAAAATCTAAGCTGAAAAGGATGAATTTCGTGGAAAACGCAAATAGAATATTATTGTTTTAATATTTCAAATTCAAATTTAAAATACGTTTATTGTGAACCACAGGTACATAGGTTGTTGAATTATAAATGGGTGTAGATCGGCTGCGTTCCACCTTGAAGACATACAATAGTTAGTGCTTAATTCTAGGTTAAAGTTTAGGCTGTAGGTAATAGCAGCCGAAACGTCAAGCCGTGAGTACATAATGTAACTAAACGTCGCGTTAAGACCCGTATCTTACTATTTTAATTGTAACAAAACGAAGGAACAATAGTGACTGATTGTACATATACGTCACATATTGGACCAATACGCCACAGATTGGCCACAAATAAACCCCAAAGGTGCTGGCCAAGACGAGGCTACGACAAATAGAGACGACCAAATGTTTGTATAGGCCGATGCAGATGCGGCTCTGTGGCATATTCGCTAGGTTTCTGTACAACTGAAACAACAGAATAACGGGAAAATTCCCTTTTGTTGGCGTGATCTGGTGAAACTGAGCTAGTGAACGTTGACGTAATCAGGGCAAAGCTGTATATCCGTTCTGAGAAGGAGTAAGCTCTATCTATTTAGCAATAGGGCGAATGAAAAGAAAATATTTTGAGATTTTTCAAAGGATAGGTAAGTAAGAAAAAAAAAACGGTACCTTTATTTTTAATACCATGGAAATGGTGGCCAAGTATAGATGAAAAACGTATCAGGACACTAAAATTGCGCGAAAGACATTTTCGCGAAGTCATTTGAGGGAAAACATTAGTGCGAAATGTGGTGCGAAACCATATGCTCGAAAAGACATTCGAGAAACGATGCTTGGGTGAAAGACAACCCACCCGATGATATTTAACGAAATATAACTTACACTAGTAATTGAAAACATTTAATAATATCCAAGTACTATAGATTATTATCGCAGTGTTTACTAAACGAACAAACCTCTCAAAACTAACATAAGCTGCATAGGAATCGCTGGCAAAATATTCATTTCGCGCTCTCAGTATAGCGACACAGGTGTTCCCTTCGAAATTGGATATTTGCTTTTCAGTTTGTTATTATTTACTTAGTTGTTTTAAACTATTTTACTATTCTGAAAGAACAGTCTGAAAAATGTTGAATGTAACTGGAAGAAAATAATAGTAATTCAGTGATTATTATTTAAAAGAAAACTGTTCGTCTCAATATAAACTTTCAAAGTTGCCAAGTTTGATAAACCATATTTTATTATTATCAGAGAAAATAATATTCAGATTGTATGATGAGAAAGTATTTCTATCGAGATTATAAATCCTTTTTTCGTAATGCGTTTTTTTTAGCGTGTTTCAGTTCACAAATTCCGTGTGCTATTCAGCTGTACCTATAAATAAGTATTTGTATTAATAGGCTATTTGGTATATAATAATATACTAGTAACTATGTAAATATTTATTTGTCATCAAATTCATCCAGCTTTTGGGTGTAGAAGTAACAAACATACCTCCACATAAATTATCCCGTTTATAATAATAACTTTTCCCAAAATATTTTTTTATGCATGACAAGGCAGGTATTTGACTGCAATCGCACCTGGTGTTAAGTGAGATGCAGTCTAGGATAGTACATAATCTGCCCTGTAAGTGCCTATTCACTCTCGCCTTGAAAAACCCCGGATTATAGTATTCAGAAAAGACAGCAGCGATGTAAATCAGCTTCAAATGTAATAAACACGGCCATTCCCTAACACTTAGGTCTAGTTAAAACTATCTCAACTCGCCCAGTTTTCGAACTTCAGGATTCGTCCTGAAATGATTAAGTACAATTTACATTTCAAGGCTACAACAGAAGTTTCCTCAAATTAACAGCCCAGACTAACTGGGCTCCCAAATTCAACCTCTCAATTAATAACTCTCCTAGATTTAGTAGTAGAAGCTTAGTATAAATGCTGTCAGTACTCTTATTTGTCTTTAGTTGAAATCTATGAGGGTAATTGCTTCAGCTTGTAAACTTTAAATTATTTAAATTAATGAGTTTAAAATGTGGTCTAAGTTTCATCGTTTGAATCGATTTTTGGAAAACGCTTTTTCTTTGGTTATTTTTGTCTGTCACAGGAAAACTTTAGGTATCACACCCATTCTTGTTTCAAAAACCGGGATAAAAACTATTCTACATCCTTTCCCGGGACTCAATCTATCTCTATGTCAAATTTCATCAAATCGATTCAGTAGTTTAGGCGAGAAAGCGTGACAGACATACAGAGTTACTTTCGAATTTATAATATAATACTTATTAGTAGAGAAGTAGGGATTTTATAGTACCTACCTTTCTTCGCTCTTAACAATATTTTCATCTACTC